AGCCCAACAATTGTTAGTGTTATGTGCGGGACTGTTGGAGTGATATGACACCTTGCATTGGGATTATAACTAGGGGAAGTAGTATTGAGATTTTGAGGAGGATCCTTCAATGTAATCAGTTTCAGCTTCAACATATGTTGCAACGCTTGAGACAACGGCATGTTGATTCTTGTGAATTGTCTCTTGGGTGCGATCTGCCTACGCTGATTATTTTGTTGTTGTTGTTGCACAAGCGCGGGATTAAAGATCAGCACTGCCCCCACATATTGGTTGCGATCACTCTTATTATGACCCTTCTGGCCGTACACATCATTGGATTTATTCTTACCATTATAAGACTTCTTCACAGTATTTAAAGATGTAGCCACCTGAATTTTACCGCTTCTGATTCCATTCTCAACACGTTCTCCTGTTAATATCAGTTCAGTGAAACCGGCTGAAGAACTTTCAAGTAGGTGATTATAGAAGGGACCTGTTAGCATGCTCATGAACATGTCAAACAATTCCCTATCAGTCAAAGGAGGTTGAACTATGCCTGCAAGATCTCTCCATTTTTATGCATACTCTTTAAAGCCTTCCACAGAACCCACGGACATGCTCTGTAATTGCATGCGGGTTGGTGCCAAATCAAAATTGTATTGATACTGTTTATAGAAAGATGCAGCCAAATCTTCCCAGGTATGGATATTGGTACCTTCAAGTTGATAATACCATTCTAGTTGTGTTCCAGATAGACTCTCTTGAAAGAAATGTAACCACAATTTCTTGTCAGCGGTGTGTGGTTGAATTTTCTGAACATCTGATCTCAAATGCAGCTTCGGGTAAGAAACGCCATCATACTTAGCAAAGGTAGGATTTTTAAACTTAGGAGGAATGACGATTCCTGAGACTAAACTCAATTCTTCAAAGTTCAAGTTAGGCACCTTCTGGATCTACATAGCTTTCAGACGCTCTTCTAACAACTTATACTTTTTTCAGCAGGGGGATATTGTTCATCCAAATAATCCTCTTCATCTTTATCAGGAAACTTGTCAGAACCAAAGTTGTTTCTTTCAGTTTTAATACTTTTACCATCCTCATCCTGGTTGTCATCTTCATCCAATGGGATATCAAAATCTTGAGCTCGCTTGACTAGACCTCTGAATCTCCTCCCCATATTAAGGATGTCGATTGGTTTCTTTGTCTTCTTCTTTTTCTCTTTGGTGATGAATGCCTCCAGTTCTTCTTGCCCCTTGGCTAAGCTTAGGAACATCTGTTGGAACTGAGCATTCTGATCCTGGAGGTCTTTGAGTTCCTGTTCAAGAGCCATTTTTCTGCTCAAATAAACAACAAGAAGATGAGAAAACTTGTCTTAGAAACCTGTTATGTAATGATATGTATGGTATGTAGATGCATATGTAATGTTTTCAAAGACCTTGTGGGATTTAAATTTGTTAATAAAAAGGAAACAACAACAAAGATTCTTGTTAGTAAGTTCAGATTATAAACGCCTTTTAGGTTTACAATGAAAACAAAAAGAAGGGTTACAAAGGAATAAATTATGACTCAAGTCTCCCATGAAAACTTCCTCTTTGTGTTGACATATGCATTAAAGCTCTGCTCTTCGTGAAGGTGTTTGGTCAGCTCTAATACTTTATTCTCACTAGCATAAAACTGAGTCTCAAAGGTGTCCTTTTCTTCTTTCATTCGAATCCAAAACTTTTGTAGCTCTTCAAGGTCAATAGGCATATCTGGATGAAGAACGGTATGAGGAACATCTCCTTCAATAGCAGGCTCCACAATGATTGGTAGGATTGTGGGATATGACATTATAACATTTTGAGCACGAGATCACATCCATCTGAGGCAGGGCTCCATAGGGATGAAGTTTTTCTGTTCCAAAGTCTTGCTATCAATCTTATTCACCATGTCCCGAACACGTATAAAACTTTAACGGTAACCTTAAGGATCATTCTCATAATCAAATACAATATCCTGGATGAGCATATCATGAGGATCGTCTCTTCGAGCATAACCAAATTAACGCAGAGTCAGGGAAGTTATAAGTGATACCTCTGTTATGTCAAAGAGTGGTACATCAGATAATTCTCCACAACGTCAATAATAGTGATATCCTCCTGAGACCGGGAACACCAATAGATATATGAATGAGGGAGTGACATCATCCTTTGAGACCACCTCAAACCTTGTTCATTCTTCATCACTGATAGGGGAAGATGCAAAATAAACCACCTGGATTGTAAAAGTATGCAACACATAAGAGTCTCTCGCTTCCTCATAGTACGAGCGTGAAGAGAATGCAAAATATCTCCAAGCAAAGTAGGCACATGATTACGAGTAAGAAATATTTTGATGGCGTTCACATCTATGAGTTGGTCTGGATTAGAGAATAGTACCAAATCATAGATCAACAGAGTCAAGTTCTCCTCGAAAGCATGAAAACTCATAGTATCCAGAAACAACTGAGCCTTCTCTATCAGAAATTTAACAAGAAGGCCCTTAATTCCACTTCTTATTTCCCAATTAAATACAATATTGAACCGCTTCAGATGTAAGACTGCTGTAATTTCTTCAGGTTTTAGAACTTTCTCTAAACCGATGAAGGATGTCTGACAAAAAGAATTATGTAGCTCATATACACATGAATTTTGTGTAAATTTATGTGTCTGAAAATATACTTTTAAAATTGTAAGAACGTTTTTAGATTTTCATAAGTGTTTCTCAGCCACTTAAAATGGAAGAAGTAAACCCTAAAATTTACTCTTATATGTAAAAGGATGTATGCAAATGTAATATTATAAAATGTCCAAAATTGTGATAGAGTGAAAGAAGGGACCTGTTTTAACTTACTTAAATTTTCAAATAAATAATATTTCTCATAGGAATGCTATGCACTAATAAACATAGGTGATAAGTAAGCAAGCACCATAGATAAACATAAAGAACCTCTATCATTTGTATCCTCAAATAGGTTATAAAAAACAGTCTACAATCGCAAAAACTGTATACCATAAGGTCATAATCAATATCACAACATCTATGTACAACGGTCATAATCAATATCACAACATCTATATCAATCAAACTTGCAAAAGTCACCGCGACCGTTTTATAAGATGCTGCTGTCAAGCTAGTATCATTTTAGCTTGTGTATCATTCATGAGTTATCTCCCAAATTTAAAATAAACAACTAAATGATTACTAGAGAAAATTAATCTTCTAACAAAAGATCGAATCATTATACCCTTATGCACATACTAACGCTAGCCCAAAGGATTTCTTTTATAAAATAAAAGTTGGTTTTGTTATTTTCATTGACCGAATTCAGTCATAAAATTTTTCTCTAAGACCAACATGGATTTCACTCTAAAATAAATTTATATAGATTCCATTAAATTTTTTTGTAGTGAAATCCTGTAAACATTAAATCAATAGGACAAAGTATATTAAAAATAATATATCAAAGAATTTATGGCCAACACTTCTCATATCAAAATAGTCCAGAATTGAACCTTATTTGGAGCTTTTAAAATGATTAAGGTGAAAATACTAACAGCTATGAGCCTTAAATTTCACAGCAAAAGCTTAAAGCAACATATTAGACACCAACAAAAAAAAAAGGATAGTATCTGTTTTCTATTGTGTTGTTGCACACAAGATTTGGTCACCATGCAATATTCAAAATAAGTGGCCTCCTTCGGAGCCCAGCTTTTCTATTACTAAAACCTACATTCACATTGAGGAAATTATAACTAAACTTTACAATTGAAGAAACTAGATTTTCTATACACATCAACTAAACACTTCCATTGTGCTTCAACGAGGTTTTTTCTCTTGCTAAAACCAATAAATATTACCTGAAAAATAAAAGAAAATAATAAGATCAGAGAGGAATAGTAAAATGACTTGAGATCTATTGAACATGGCACATATAATCTATAATGCAACTGTTGATAGTTATAACAAAATTTGTTCATAGCTAAACACCAAATTAGAGACCAATATGAGGCAAGAATGACATGTTTTTCTTCTTATAATTTGGTGAGAAAGGGTGTTGTTATCTGACTTTATTGCACAGAGTACACAATTATAAAAATAAAATAAAAAACTAAAATACAAATATAATTAAAAAAATTCACTAGAAAGGTACGGGTACCGATAGCAGATTTTTCACCATTTCACCGTATTAAAAGTACTCATGCTTCAAAGCAAATACAGAAAACGAGTCATTGACTATTAAATGATACAACAAACAACCAACCAAATAATCTCAAAATAAATAAATAAACACGGGGCTGTGATTTTGTTGTTATTCTAAAGTATAAGTTTTGCCAAATGGAACCATAATTTTGATGTAATTTTGAAGTATAAGTTTTGCCAAAATCACAGCACCAAAACTGGTCTTAAATTCAAGTAGTCCAAAAAGGCTTAATACTTTATCTAACTATGCAACACTTACCACCCCAAAGTACTTGCATAATGCATGAACAGTGCCAAACCATGAAGTGGTTTTGGCTCCAATACATAAAGTGCAACCAAACAAATCAAAAGATAAATAGAGCAGACATGTTGAGTTACATAATATCTTGACAGCCTGTACCCCTATCTCTATGTCAACCACACAAAAAAAGCTACATTTATTTTATCACTTAACAAATGAGGTTAAGGAGGAGAATTAACAATCCTATCTCATTGTGTGGATTTGCTGCATATACTATATGGACCATTCTCTCTCATTCTCACACACTATTATTTACTTCTCCAAAGTCGTACACTTCCAAAGTCACACAATCAAATTTTGTGTCCTTTATTCCTATCAGGTATAAACAAAGTGACCTCAACTCAATTTCTGATATTTTTTTCTATTACAAAACACCAAAGTTAATAACGACTACTCTAGCAAAAAAAAAGATAAACAATAAATAGAACTCTAAATCACCAAATTCAGACATAATTTGTTTTAATGAAAAATAGAAGTTTTTGTACTCACCATGCAAGGTTCAATCCTTGAAAATCACTTCGTCAGCTATATCCATCAAAGGCCCAAGACATTCCGGCGAGAATTTCCTTGCAAAGAAATACGAGTAGCTTGAATTGGATCGCCTCAGGTGATGAACAAGCTCCAGAGAAACCTCATCCGGAGTATAAAGATGAGGATGTCCATCCCAACAATCAGTCCAGTTAACTCTAGTGAGTGTAAAACCAGTGCACCCATTCGGATCCTCCATTGACAAAAGAGTTGGAAAGTAATGTTCTTCTGGATAACACGAATACACATTTATACAAGGAATCAGAAATTTCTTCCATAGTTTTTGTTCTCCCACCACAAACTTTGCATGTTTTCTGTTCAAGGTAAAGAACTGCGAACCCACCCGAAAATCCTCGAACACAATTTCAGGCAACATTGCATTCTCACCGCGAGCATTATACCTTTCGTTGAGATTGGGATCGTCGGAGAGAATCTCAATGAAGCTGGGGTATGTAAAGTTATTATAGCTGACGAAACTCTCTAATAACTTTAACTGATTTGTAAAAAGAGATTTATAAACTAATCGAAACGACAAAAGCGGAATACAGTGTTGAGAGATTAAGGTAAAGTATTGGTTGAGCGGATCATCTAAGAGGGCGGTCGCTAGGAGACGTCGAGAGGCGGAGATGAGTGTTGGGGAAGCGCGTTGGGTTATTTGAGAAGGGATGAAACGGTTTTGGAAAACTCCGCCGGGTGAGAGGATGGAGGAAGTGGGGTCGGCGTGGACGTAGATGTTGAAGAGGTGGTTGTTACCGGCGAAGAATTTTTCCCATAAAGGTGCGAAGGAGAGGTTTGAGTTAGTGAGGAAGAGGAAAGCGATTTTGGGTTTAGGGTTTGTGAGGGTGGATAGGTGGTTTGTTGTGTGGGTGGCGCGGTGAAAGAGGGAGAGGTCGGCGGCGGTGACGGCGGAGGAAGATGAGGAGGAGGAGAAAGGGGAGTAAATTTGGAAGATGATTTGTTGGGAGAAGAAGAGGATGAGGAGGAGAGAGAGGATGAGAGCTGAGGAGACAAGAACGGGTGATGACAACATTGGATTCGATATTGTTTTTGTGTTTTTTTTTGTTTGGGTTTAGTGGGTTTTGTTTGGAGCAGTTTTCAGAGTATAAAGAAAAGGAAGGAATGAATGTAGTGAAGTGTTGGAGAGTGCAAAAGGAAGATGACAAATAAAAGGAATGAGCCAATAAAGAAATTAAGAGAAAGAATAGTAATAAATACTAAAGAAGAAGAGAGAACAGGAGATACTAAAAAAACAAAAGGGAGCTCCCAATTTTATATTTACTTGTATAGTTGTATTTATAGTATTAATTTTGATGAAAATATTTAGAAGTGCTAATTTAGGATTTATATTGATTGTCTAGCTTGGATATTCAGTTAAGTTGGCCAACAAAATTAGGTCACAAAAATATAATTAAATCGGTCAACATAATTAGACTACGAAGATACATTCGAGTTGACCAATACAATTAGGTCATAATGGTACAATCAAGTCGGTCAATAAAATTAGGCTATGAAGGTACAATCAAGTCGGTTAACACAGTTAGTCCACGAAAGTATAATCAAGTCAATCAACGCAGTTAGACCACAAAGGTACAACCAAGTCGGCCAACACAGTTAGGCCACAAAAGTACAATCAAGTCGGCCGATAGAGCTAACCCATGAAAGTACAACCAAGTCGGCCAACACAGCTAGGCCACAAATGTAACACTCCAAATTCTAGATTAATTAACTATTTAATTAATTTAGCGTGAATATATGAGTCATTGTGAAGTATTTGATATATGAGTATGAAGTATACTATGATGATGAGATGAATATGATGATTAATACGATGTTTGATGTAATGGTATGTGTGGTGTAGTGGGAATTAAGATGATTAAGAGGGTTTTTAGTAATTTAGAATAATTAAAATAATTAGTTAAAATTATTTTAATTAGATAATTTAAAATAAAATATGAGGTAGAAACTATGAGGATATGATGGTCATTTGGGAAGAATAAGTGAGGACAATAGCGGAAGACCAATTAAGGGTCCAAGGGTTAAGTGAGACAAAATATATTTGAGATTTTAGAAGTGCTCATTATGTACGATAGTTTTTGGAGAAAAGACAAAGGCAGAACTAGGACACAAAGAGGCAAGAAGGAGCATAGGAATTTCGGTAGAGCACAAAGAGAATTTGATTGCTAGAAATAATCTAAGGTAAGGGGAGTTTTATTTTGATTATTGTAATCGATCTAAGGTCTAGATAAATGTAGGTTTGTGTTGGATTTTGGTGATTTGATTATTGTGTTTCAATTGGTGAATTTGTGTTGGAATTGGTGAAAATACATTGTTGAATTGCCATGAGTTTGTGAATATAATGCCTATAATATGGTATAGTTGTTATATGATGATTAGGTGTTGAAATCCATGAGGATCGGGACCGTTTTGATGCAAAATCTCAAGAATTGGGACTGATTTTTATCCAGGAAATTACAACAGAAAAACTCCGTTCGCGCAGGATCGTCGGGAGATGGACAATCATCGTCGAGCGACGGTGATGCGCTTGGTCGTTGTTGAGCGAGCCAAGAGGCGACGAGAGGCATAAAAGATGAATTGTTACTAGAATGCATCGTTCCAAACATCGCCGAGCGAAGTGGACGCAAAGGTACGTCACCATGCGATAAAGTGGTGTCGCCGGGTGATGGTGTCCAGAATGGAAGGGTTATGCATGATTTTTCAGAAGGTCATAACTTGACTTTTAGAACTCAGTTTGAGATTCTGTTTGAAGCGTTGTATAACTAACGTAATAAACTTCAATTAAATGGAATAAAATGAGTAATAAGAAGTATATTCTCAGTACCTAAGTTAGAATGAAGTTAGGTTTCCCGTGCTGGATTAAAATAAGAATTTGTTTATTATGATGATATGATGATGTTGTGATGATGTTTTGTTTATTATGATGATATGATGAGGTTGTGATGATGTTTTGTTTCTTATGATTATATGATGATATTGTAATGATGTCTTGTTTATTATGAAGTTATGATGATGTTTTATTTATTATGATGTTATAATGAAGTTATGATAAATTCACGAATGATGGTGCGTTTTGACTAGTCGTGGTCGTATTTATTATGTTATTGTGTATCATGCATTCATGGCATAGTTTAGGACTTCGGTCCAATAATTTTGTTAGGGCTTCGGTCCAGTGAAGATGATAGGACAATAGTCCAGTGAAGACATCAATCCCATAGTGTGGACTGAGTGCAAAATTGTGAAGTGCTCTGGTTCCAAGTGGGAATCGATTCTATTGATGGGGATCTTTGGAAATAATAATGATTGAGTCATCAGTGTAGGTTTAGTACCATATACATGAGTCTATGACGTTGCATTACATTATATGTGATATTGCATAATGAGTTGATTAAAATATGTTTGTTGATAAATGGTGTTTTGATGGTAGGTTGTTATGTATTGATGAGGTTATGAAGGTGTGAGTAATACACGAGGTTCTGATGATGATGTATGATGTCTTACCTAAGTGCATGTCTACTATATTTATTCCTTATTATTGCAACTGGTTTTTAAATCAGAGTCGCCACCCTTAATTTTTATCCCAGGGAAGGGAATATAAAGGAATATCCTAAAAATTCAGAGATTTTAGATTGTTGACTCGGTTCTAGACAAAGGGAAGGTGTTAGGCACCCCTCATCTACCTTGTTCATAATGATACTAGGTTTAGAAGCGCAAGTTTTAGGAAATAGGGTTTTAATATTTATTAGGGGAAAAGGATTTTAATTTTTAATAGGGGAAAAAGGGTTTTAATTTTAATCAGGGGGACTCGCCATGAATTTAATCGCATGTGTGATACGGTGGGAGAACTGACTGTGAGTTTTGCGTTTGTTTTCGCAAATGTTTCGGTTGAGCAAGAGTCACCACCGACTTTTTATTTTATCCTAAGGAAAGGTTAAAAAAGCACAGCAAAAACCTTTGAGATGTTTTCTTGGGTTCGGGGAGTAGATTATAGAAAGGGAAGGTATTAGCACCCTTTCTATCCATGGTTATCCATGGGCTCTTAGTTACTTGCTTAGATCACTTGCCTTTTGTTTTCAATTGTTTGAAATGGTGCTTTGTGTATGTGGGTTTGAAAAATGTTTTGAAAAGAGGCCAATGTGGTGGCAACCTTTGTAATGATCCATGTTGGGATGTATACGAAGATGTACGTCTTTTGAAAAGGTTTTCATTTGTTTTTGAAAGTTTGTTTTGAAAGTGTTGTGAGGTGTGGTTTTAGAAAATAGGCAAGTGTTTTGTTTTTGCAAGTTTGATTCAAGTAACTAAGATGTTATCTACTCCTAAATTTCTCAAAGTTTATTGCTATGTTTTAACCCTTTTAACAAGTTTGTTCCACCATTGTATTTGGTGGACAATCTCATGTTAGGATGTGAAAGGGACGGGCGCGGGTCATCGTTTAGACCATAATTGCAATGGTGTCAAGTATCTTTGGGCAATTTTCTTTAAGGGACTTGATCATTTGTTTAGGCAACATTTTGAAAGCGTCATCGAGGGACTATGATCATTTGATTTGTGTTTGTTTTGCCCAAAGAGACCTAACATGCAATATGGTCCAATTTTGAAAGGCAACAAGTGGAATACCCTAGTGCAAGTGTGATTTGTGTGTTCATTTTCATGCTTGTTTATCTTGAAATTAGGTCAAAACTATTTTCGTTGTTTTTTCGCATACAAACCCTAATTCTAACATGGTATAATTAGAAAGCAATAAAGTGCGAAAATAAATTTACTAAGCTATTACAAAACCATATATGGGAAGGGGGGTACAAATGTTCAAATGGGGATTTTGACAAGGAATTTAAACCTAACTATTACATCAATATTTGAATTATTTACAAGATATTTGTTTGCACAAATTAAATGAAATAAGAATAAATATGCAAGATGCAAAAATGGTTTTTGTATATATGAAAAAAGGTTTTTTTATGTATCAAAATAAACAAAAAGAAAAGTATTATTTTTTGGAGTTTTTCATGTTTAGGGTTAAACCCTAATTCTATTAAATAAAATGCACTATTTATTTATTATGTACAAGTATTTATTTATTGTATACAAAAATAAAATAAAATGAAGTATATTTGTAAAAAGGGCATTTTTATATTTAAATATTAATAAAAAATAAAAAGTATATGTATTTGCATTTTAACCCTAATATATATATATATATATATATATATATATATATATATATATATATATATATATATATATATATATATATATATATATATATATATATATATATGTATTATTTATTAAATATGTATTATATGTACAAATTAATAATATTTAATATTTAATAAAAAAAGTATTTTTCCTATAAAATATTTTCAGAAGGTAAAACAAAATAAAAAAATGAAAATAAAAATGTTTTTGCATATTTCTTAGTATTCTTTAATAAAATGTATATATTTATTTATTTGTGTATAAAACTAAACTAAACAAACAAATACCTAATAAATTCAAAAATGGTGTAAAAAATTGTTTTTATATTTTTTATATTATGAGGAAAAATAAATAAGTCAAACCAAAAAAAGAAAAATCAAAAAACATTAAAAATAAATAAAATGGGCTCAGGGGGTTCAGAAGCAAATGTATGGTGCAAATAAGAAAAACATTCCAGGCCCAGCCCAGAACCAGTCATCTTCAACCTCAGAACAAACTTGTTTAAGCAAGCACGCATTTCCTATCTCCCAATTCCTGGACTTTTAAACAAAACTTTCAACATGAAAAGTGTAGAGCATGAGAAGACGAATCCAGGGATATAAAAAACTTGACTTAACTCTCTAAGATGAGGGAGAATTTCTTCTCCCCCAATTCCTGACCTAGTTTTTCATCAATGTTCAGACTCAAAATTCTTGCAGCACACATAATATAAATGAAATCTAATCATATGGGCATGTTCAGGGCTATGATTGTGACATGTTTCCTTCACAAACCTAAAGCTAACAATGCCTATACTGAGAGATAGAACTTCATGAA